GAAAATGTTGATGTATGACAAGCATATTCTGTGTAAGTGTTTCATATTATCATTTTTAATATTACTCTCTACATTTATTTTACTTTATACCACCATTTATAATCTGCACGGTCGTACAATAAAGTACAACAGAGGAAATTCCCATGGCATGTTGTTTTTTATTTCTTTGACATTTTTGTAAACATAGATAGCAATTTTCCTGTAATTGATTGTCTTTGATCGAATATGCTTTACCTGTCCGGTCACTAGTTTGTATTAGGTACATATCCCAAAACAGGACTGGTCGTAGCCTGTTGTAACGCGTGAGTGTTTGAAATCAAATTGATGGAAATGTTGGAAAGCCTGGATATGGCTTTACTCTTAGATTCAGAAAGTCATCCACACTTTAAACATTTCTCTTTAAAAGCTGTCCATAATAGTCCTAAATTGTGACTTTGATCATTACCCATTTGTGCCAATTATACAGAATATTTTCCATGTAGAACTATTTGTAATTCATACTAAATAGAATTAATTATTATTTAATTCATTCAGTTCTGCTTATAATGTTTTACTTTAAAACCTACCGTTCACTTAACCTGCATGGACATAAATCACTTATTGTAATTTCCATTCAATTAAAATTGCAAACATATTGAAGAAACGTGAATGAAGATCAGTAAAATATTAGTTTGATTCCAAATAGTTTTGACTGACACAAAAAAAGCTGACAAAAACATTGTCATGAATGAAAACGACTGCCTAACAAAAGTTGTTTTATTCTCATGTAAATAAATTACATCATTTTTTGTTACAAAAATAAAATGAAACCCAACCAACATGAACCAAACTTATGCATTTCAGACAAAAAAAAAATGTGAATCTGGAAATCGGACGATCATAATGTGTCTTACAAATGCTTTAACAAAAGTTTTACTTTTCAGGGACTGAATACCTCTCCCCCTCGACTGCCAGTCTATTGATCCACCTGTTGTGATCGGACCATAGGCGCAGACAAACCACAGAACATCACAAACAACACAAGAGTAAAGAGCAAGTTAAAAAAGGAATTTGTGCAACAGAAGTTGGGGCTGGGCAGTTTCTTTGCCATGAGAATTACACCTGAGGAGACAAGTTGACAAAACGACAACTAAAAGCCTCTACCAGTGTAACAACTGAAGGAAAACTGTTTTTAGATGACACAAAAGGTTTTTGCAAAGTTGTAATGACACAAGGACGATACTAAAGCAGTCAGCTCTTACTGATACACTGGTATATGATCATACTAAAAGAAAATTTTACACCAACTTACAGATACTAAAAAACTAAATTCAGTGCAAACGCACAGCTTCTCTTAACGTCTCAGTGTGATTTCTGCAGTGGTCAGTCCAGACAAACATCACAGCAGAAGGAAACACTGGAGTTAAATGTAACTTCATGTACTGAAGGAGAAATCACTCAGATTATAGGATGTTGAAGGTGTAATGTTCACTCAGTGCTGGTTCTTCATGCCCTGTGGTTTGCCTGGTTTCTTATCCTGCTGCAGCTGCAGCTGCTGCTGCTGGCCTCGGCCCGGACCAGACATCCCTCTGCCACGACCGCCAAACAGACCTGACAACAGACATTTATAAATACAAATATAGAGAATGCTACAATAGTTTTGTTACTGTATGACAAAAATGTACATTTCAGTAAATAAATAAAAACGTAGAATCTCATAGGTAATCGGCATGATGGTATAAAACATTTTATTTTAAATTATTTCTTAGACATTTTACTTAATATAGCTGACAGTTTGCCGGTTTTTTATTTTTACTTTAGGTTTTTTTCTTAGTTTTTTATTAGATTTTTCTGTGATAAGTATATGTTAAAGACTACCTTGAGGAAATGTTGTCTTTAACAAACATTAAAGTACATGACAAATAAAGAGAATGCTACAATATTTGTGTTACAGTATGACAAAGATGTACATTTCAGTAAATAAATAAATTAAAAACTTAATGCCAGGTTTTGCTATATAATTACATTTCTCACCTTTTAAACCTTACAATGCATTCCAAGATTTTATTTACACATCTTTAGGGCTAGACTTGATGCTCCTGAGAGTATGTGGACTTTATATTATGAGAAATTAGGAAACAAACTTAAACTGTCATGGCAATATCAATTTTACGACCAAAGGCACAAAAGAAAGCCGTCTCCACTCACCTCGGCCGACTCCTCCACCTCTTCCTTTGCCCTGCTGTTTGTTCTGCTGGGGGCCTCCACGTCCGCGGCCCTTCGACACCACCTCCTCCTTCACCATGTCGATGATCTCATCGGGGATTCGCAGGTACTTGATGGTACTTCCTCTGATGTAGCACTCAGGCATCCTCCAGAACTTATCTCCATCCTGTTAGAGTGGAGAGGGACTGTCAATGCATTCTAATCTTAATGTGGCTGTGTTTTGTAAAGAAGGTAAGCATTGTCCTGTCGCAGTCCATTTTTTGTTTTATTTATTTATTTTTTGTTTTGTCTTTTATCCTGTCGGACTCGAGTCACACTGTTGTCATCCTTACTTGTTTGCCAACTGCTATTGTGCTGTCTGTTTGTTTATAAAAAACTCAAATAAAAAGTTTTTAAAAAATAAAAAAGAAGGTATGCACAACCAGCTTCAGTCTATAGCTTTTTTGTCTGAAGAGGAGCTGTATGTAAGGTTGTGCTGCGAGGATTAGTTGACTTCAATGTTAAGATGTTCTGCTTTTCTCAGTTGTCATGTTCCACTAAACTGAATATCTTTGGTTCTGACAAAACAAGGCATTTAAAGACCTCACCTTTGACTTGAGACTAGGATGGACATTTGTAACTCGTTTTATAGACCTAACAATAAATCTATAAGAATCAGCAGTTAATAATGCAATTAATATAGAAAATAAATGTAAGCTGCAAGCCTCGAGTGTGCCATTCTGTTTTCAGTTAGTGTTTATGTCCCAAATTATTTGTGTAACTGTTTACATGTCAAAAAACAAACCAAACTAAATAGGAGAGATACTTTATAACAGCCAGTAGCACTGCGTCTAAAGTGTTAGTGATGGCAGAGACGGGAGACCAGAGCTCAGCTTTACCCTCGAGGTGCAGATGACTTCTCTCAGGTTGATGTTCATCCAGTTGTCACAGCTGACCAGGTGACCGTTATACGTCTCTCCATTTTTCAGCTCCACCAGCTGAAGAGAGAAGGGACACATAAAACAAGCTGTTTTAGAGTCCAGGCTACAAATTGCCGGCTGGATGAAAGATACTATAGCACAAGTCATGGATAAAACAACTTATAATTACGTCACAGTTAACATGCCAAATAATTAATGAAGTAATGTAAAGATAAAAGACAGTCAAATAAGTTGCTGTCCCATCTGCAGCCATAACATGAAGGCTTCAGTGTCTTCTCACCATAGGATGGTTCTGGGCAGTCTTAAGCAGAGATAGTGGAAGCTGGAAAAGGACAGAAAAACACATTATAGCTTGATAAAGAATCATGAAAATAAGCTATAAGTTACCTTATGATATTAATTGTTCAGTGTTAAAACATTTGTAATTTGAAATAGTTGTAATATAATACTTTGCCATAAATTAAAATTAATAAAAATTCGTTTTGTATTGTACGTCATTATAATATCCTCGACCAGTGATTTATCTGGAGTGTTTAAACACTGTTTATCATACACTGTCATGTGCGCTAACTCGCCATATTTACCGCAATGAGAGGCAAAAACATACTTTTTTTCGAGTTTTAAGTAGCAAGCTCACAACTTTGGCACAATATCAACTTTCTCTGTTGCTGCATGTAAAGTCTGCACGCATTTTAAAACAGCCACTTTGTCAATTATGTTTAGTTTAGATACCGTAAGGTAAGCTAATTTCACTTGGCTAGCACAGCATTGTGTGACCCAGCGCTACAGAGCTGCTAACAGTTAGCTGAGCAGCAAGCGTGCCAACGAAAACCTAAACAGGTGGCTATTAACGTGTTATCGTAACAGTACAAATGAAATACTCACCATTGTGATAGTATGTCTTTATTTTTTTGTGTTTCACTTTTTGCCTAGGCCCTTCACTGACACGAATTTACAAAACCTCCTAATGTTCTTCTTCGTCTTCTCCGTTATTTCCGGCATGTGATAACGGCTGTATTATAAGATGCTGCCCTCTGCCGTCAACAGCAGTCACTGCAATGCAATCAAAATATAGAATGGAGTGCCTAAAGGTTGGTGAAAAAAAGTATGTGTTTATAGCTTTATATATACAGTCTATGTAGCGGTTTATAGTTATTATTTCCTTACTATCAAAGCTATGATTGTCCTTTTAATGTGTGCTCCAGAAATAGTCAGACAGACAGAGCAACCAACCATACAAAAATGTGTTACCCATTGCTGTAATCTTTTAGGACCCATAAACAGTGATTCAGAAACGGATTTTTAAATAATGTTCAGCTTCATTGACAAAATAAATAAAAAATCTAATTAATTAATGAATTAATACTTTTTGAGAAACGGTAGGAGATTAAATAAAACATCTCTTTAAAAAATATAGCATATTAACTATATGTGCACACTTGAGGTTTATAGTTTGGAAAAAGTCAACATATTTTCTTATTCTACCTTTAAAAGAGCTTGAAAACGTGACTTTATGGATATGATATTTCTTCAGTTAATTTAATAAATTGAAATAAAATAAAAAACGTTCTCGTTTTGGTAACATTTTAAATCCAAGGTTTCTTGTCTAAAATAATATTTGTATTGGGTATCAATTCTCATGTTGTTGTTTTTCCAGAATCATACATTGACAGTGTATTGCCTTTCACTAAAAACGTAAACACGTTTCTTCTTATTACTTTACTAAATAAACATCAAAACCATCAATTGGGCACGTGTCGAAGGGATGAAATGTACGAACAATTTTTGTTGCGTCACTTTTGAGCTCCTAAATAAAAATCACCATATTATTGCTTACGTAATGACGTCACGCCTGACGCAGCCTACAGGCAGCAGCAGGCTGGTTGTTTGGTGTCTGGCAGACGGAGCCGCGTCAGCTGTGGAGGGAACTGTCTCTCTTTGCGGTCCTGGTTCACAATAAAGACCAGAAAAAAGGCAGAGGATACTCTGCAACAGGACGGGTGATGGACAACAGTAAACGGACGGTGGTCGTTACAGGTTAGTTGTTTTTTTCCAGCCATTGTTGTCGTGTATGCAGACTGAACATCGGGGTGAAGTGGAGGAAAAGTTGTGGAGGTGACAACTGCTAGCGTTAATGGCGTCAGGCCGTTACTGCTTCACTCCGCTGCCAGACAGTTTAAAGAAACGTTTTGCTTACTAGTAATATTAACAACAACATATTAGGTATTTAGTATGTTTTTTATACATACAATTAGTGTTGCTGACAAGGTAGACGAAATTATCTTTCTGTTGTTGTTTCCTGTCTTACTTCAAAGGCCATGTAACGCTAAACACACGTTAATAAACCGAGTTTCTGTACAAATCTAATGGATCAAAGATATGTTTTTTATCTTTCACTTTATTTATGTGTTTCAAAAATAATAAATATAAATAAATTTAAAAAACAGAACAAATGATTAATGTATACAATTGTCGAAAAGACTCTTCTTCGGGAGGTATTTTGTAGTGATAGTGAAAACCTGTTCAAGTTCCTGTTAAAGAAATAGCTGCTGTAGGGCTTTTTCTTCATGGCTTTATGTTAATTGTTTCACAACAGTTGGACTTGTTTTCCTCACCAGGCCTCTGTCCAGACATGGTTTCATTACAGAGCTGGGCAAAGTGTTTCAAATAAATAACATAATAACAAACCAATGATTGTGTACCAGTTATACATATCCTAACAGTATTATGTTCTGTCCAGTGTCTGTGTGGAAGCTCATCCATTTTACATCATATATCACATTGCTTTGCATTATAATATGAAAGTCTGGAAATGTAACTGTTCTTTTTTTGGGCTGTCTCCTCCCATAAAAGCTGCTTTACATGATTCATTTTAGGAAACACATTTTGCACAACCATTCATTTAAGAACAAGTAATGTTTACAGAGATATTAAAATATAAGTCAATATTGATGTTAAACTATGGTGTTCTTTTGTTGGTTTACCAAAACAAGACTCGCTGCAACTTCAGTTCCAGCCACTTTAATATAATGTTTACTAAATGCACAAACTACAGGCTTGAATATTGAATCGGTGGAGTATAACAGCAGCAGAGAGTTTTCAGACACAAAGGGGTGCAGAAGCTGGCAGTCCCAGCTGATACGAGACGTGTAGATTGCCTGGGAACAGCACCTTCACAATAGCGGGGCGGCTAGCAGCTGTCGGCCCCTCACTCTGCTCCTTTTCAGCTGCCTATCAGACAGACTGGTCCCCCTCCACCCAACCCCCAGGGACCCACTGACCCTTGGAAGGGTGGTGGAAGGAGATCAGTTATAGATCCCTATATAAACAAGCCTGAGTGAATATCCATAGGCCGCTGCTGAGATTTTATAGGTCGTATGGAGTGATGCATGGAGGGACTTTTAGAGAAAGTGATTGATTTGAATTTGACTATTCAACAGAAACCTTAGACATACACATTTCTTTCATAGGAGTGTTCAGGTTTTTTCTGAAAATCTAATATTTTGGAAATGTTAGGTCTGTGTACGTCTCAACTACTTTATAGTACAAATGCAATATTCAGCTAGTAATTTACAAATAAAATGTATGACAGTATCTAGCAGTCATATGATAAGACATTTAAATGTATTTCTATTCATACCCGTACAACTACTTAAAGGTTGCAGTAAGATGTATAATAGTATTCTGTTAGTGCAATGCAAGTTTACATAATTATGTGTAGAAACCAACCAGACAGCAACCAAAATAACGTACCTGTTTTGCAGGTTTTGGGCCATTTGGAGAGCACACCGTCAACGCCAGCTGGATAGCAGTACAGGTATGTTTTACCGCTCTATTTCTGTTTGAATTCCCATATTCAATATGTTTTAAAGAATCAAACAGACATCAGTATGAGCATCAGTGTGTTTAGGTTAAACCCAGACTGTTTGATTCATCTGTTTGTAATTAAAACATTTTTACAAACAATTTCTTGACTTCGCATAAGTTAAATAATTAATTAACTAGACCTTTTACTAAATGCTTTCTATTCAACCTGGAGTGTAAACATAACCACTGATCACCCCTACATATGGCATACTAACTCAATTAAGCTTATAATGTTTTTAGTCAAGACCTGACCTTGCATACAGTAAGTAGTCTTCATGGTGAATTGTTAATATTTGTATTAAATAAAATAACATATGAGCAATTGTGTCTTTTCGTAATGAGACCAGCCTGTTTTCGAGGTGGTCACATGATGCTCTGATAGTTACCGGCCGGCTTCTCCCCGTGCAGCAGCGTGTCGAGGCTCTCCGTGTCCTGCTGGACAAACTGCATGTGGGGGGTGACAGTGGTTGTCAGGGTGTCTAGACAGACTTGATAAGGATATTAAAGGCAAACAAAAGGCCGCTTTGTGGCGGGGTCAGAGACGTGGTCAAACAAGACTCTCTTCAATAGGTGGGGGTCAGTGTCCAGGGCTGATTGTCCTGCAGGGAGATGGGGGGGGGGGAGGCGTCAGTCCACTGGCTGTGAATTTGACACAGATTTATCTTACTTATAATATGTATGATTGCATCTTAACCATCTGGCATTTCTCATACTATTTAAAACAATTGTGTATAGCAGTTTCTTTAGTTTTTTTTAAAATAATGTTATTTGGAAAGGGCAAGGCGAGATGAGAAACTGCAAAAATGTTTACCTTTCGACTCATACCAATTCAAATAAGAATCATTAACATATATTATTATCATTGGTTCTGAATAGATTTTTTTTATGGATAAAAATCCCAAATAAAAATGTTAAACAAACATCTCAAAGATTGTAATAAAAATGGATATATTTAAAGAGATTTGGAAAAATGTCTATTGTGAAACAAAATAGCTTAAAGCTTTAGATTTAAAAATGAACGCTAACGTGCAAACTAGTGACCAAGGAATATTCAAATGTTCACAGTTTAAAGACACCATGCAAAATCCTAATCTAAAGCTGTGCATTCATTTAAAGGGTCTAGTTGAAAGTGGTGACATCACGTTTATGTAAGGTATTTTCCATTGGGTGGGATAACAGTTAGTGTCAGTACCCTTAACCCGACATAGGGCATAAGGACATATTTTAAGGTAAATTGGCTGTTTTAATTTACAAGATGGAAACACAGATGGAAGAGGGAAAAAGAAGGTTGTTGTCGTTTCTTATAAAAGTTAATAGATCTAGTTTCTCTACGTTATAACATAATATTAACACTAGAATCAAAGTTCCACCATTTTGTCTATTTTTAAAATGAAAAAAAGGATTTCAGCTTTGATGTGTTTGTTCGTCCTGTCAGGAACTGAAGAAGCTCGGACTGGGCAGTGAAGTGGACCTGCATGTGTCCGAGGTTCCTGTAGAGTACCAGACAGTCCAGAGTTTGGTTCCTTCATTATGGAAGAAGCATCATCCACAGGTAAGAGGAGAATGTGCAGTAACCTCTCCACACTATTGCACTTTTAAGACTTTAATACAACAACTCTTGTCCGCCTCAGTTCCAGCGTAGGTCTCATTTTATTGCCACAGGATTCACAGGTCTTGTGTAAAGGCAAATGAAAAGTATGATTGGATCTACTTTAGGCCCTGAGAACAATCAGATCATGAGACCTGTTGTTGAATTCAATTACGTAAGAAAATGAGAACATTGATATTTGGGTTTAGAAGGGCTCTGTTTAGTGGTTCTTGGGCTCAGATCTTTGATTTGTTTCTAATAAAAGAATAATTAGCTTCTTTCATTAGAGACCTCAGGTGCAAAGAAGCAGAGAAGATGCTGCCACAGGCGTATTGCGAATAATTTGTGTTTCTTGACAGTAATATGATATGAATTCTGATGTGTGTTTTTATTGCTTCCTTTGTCTGCCAGTTGGTGGTTCATGTTGGAGTCTCAGGTATGGCCACCACTGTCACGTTGGAGAAGTGTGGCAGAAATCACGGCTACAAGGGCCTGGACAACAGCAGCTTCTGTCCTGATTCACAGTGTTGCATTGTGGGAGGCCCCGACTGTATCAACTCAGTCATTGACATGGAATCAGTCTGTAAGAGAGTGACCTCCTCAGGGCTGGGAGTAGCTGTGTCTGTCTCCAAAGATGCTGGAAGGTAAGGATTTAGTACAAAAATATATTGTCTGAATAAGCTTTTTGTTTCGCTTCACACCTTTCAGACACATGCTTCAGCTCCTAAAGTGATAAAGCCATGAAAACACATTCATGTCACTTTGTTAAACACACAAATCAGACATCAACTGTATTCACTCTGCATTGAGACCTACATTTGATTCAGCAATTTGCATTAAGTTTGACTGAAAGCTGAAGTGAAACTGTGTGTGGAAGTGGGATGTTGTTAAAAAATAAGTCAAATCAGTCCGGTCTGTGCAAATCTGACCAACACATTATAACCTTCATAAAACACTTAATTAGGACAATTAAGGAATGTAGAATTGGACTGTATTAGTTTTAGCTTGGTGAACTTAAGGAAACTGCCAACTAAGTGTGGCATTACGTACTAGAATTTATTTCACTAACCGGCTGATAAACGTGCTGACACTGATGTATCTGTGATAAACTTGAATCAGCCATGCTTTTCCACATTAAAATCTCTTCAAAAAGGACTAGACCTATTTTATAAATGTTTCCGACAAATTTCCAACCTAAGGAAATCTGTAATTATAATCAAGGCAGCGGCCTGTTTGATTTGGTCATCTGTAGTGGCTTCATCTACTTTGAGCATGCCTCCGCAGTGTGGTTGTTTGTCAGAAGATGTCATAAATAGATTTTTTAAATTAGGTTTTAGCCAGATCTTGGTAGCTTTTAATTATACATTTAAAAAGCAATAAGGATGTTGTCATCCAACATCTAGATATTAGGATGTGAAAGAAACAAGCTGAGCAAGATTTTGTGGCATTTGCACAGCATTGAAGAAACACTGATTTTCTTATTAAAATTTGAATGTGGATATGCCTGGGAACTGCCTCCCACCCTGTACCACGCTGCCACCAAACTCAGTCTTTTATCATTGTTTAATATTGATATCCCTAGTGGTATTATATACTAATAAAGGACTGGCTTATCTAAAGCCAGTTGAGTAGCACTTTAAATGTTTTGGCTCTATGAAACCTGATGTACTTTATATGATTCTGTTTTCTTCAAGTTTGTATCTTCTTGGTCGAATGCACTTATTGTAAGTCGCTTTGGATAAAAGCGTCAGCTAAATGCAATGTAATGTAATGTAATGGTAGAACAAATCATGTGTATTGCTAAATCCATAGGGAAGGTTTGCAGAGATGTACAGATGCTGTCCTTTCTCCCTCAACAGGTATCTGTGTGATTTCACCTACTACACGTCTCTGCACCTGAGCCATGGTCGCTCTGCCTTCGTTCATGTGCCTCCTCTGGGAAAGCCTTACAGCGGGGAAGACCTGGGCCGGGCGCTGCAGGCCATCATCCAGGAGATGCTGGAGCTTATAGACCAGGCCGAAGAGAAAATCCACTGCCAGCAGCAACACTTCCACTAAGTGACCTCCAGATGCCAACCAGCCTCTCCAACCCTCACTACAAAAGAGAAATTGCACTTAACCACAAGTAGCCAAACTTCTTCTCTTTTTATTTTTGTCTTTACTTGGATAGAATGAAAACTTCAGTTTATCTCCAGCATTTGTCTCTCTTTGTCTTCATGTTTTTCTAGCCCTGACTCAGTTGTGTTTTTATGTCTCCCGATGGTGAGAAGATATAATGGGAGTCTCAAGCCTAACTGTGCCATTTCACACTTGATGTTGAATTGTTTCTTGAGTCCTTTTTCTTTATAAGAAGTTGTTATTTTGCCTTCTTTTACAAAGGTTATTTAATCAGGGAACGGGTTGGTTCCAGCTCATATTCCCCCACAGTTTTGTTGGCCCAACTCTGACAAAACAAAAACCCCTCATTGAGATCTGGCCCTTCAGGCAGTGCAATGTTATTTTACAGATCTCGAGTTCAGTGATTTAGTGGTAGGTTTATAGAATTATATCAGGGCTGCACAATTAGAAAATATAAAGCATTGCAATTATTACCACAGACATTGGACAGATTAAATTAAACACTCTTCTCATGGGAGCTGTGCCTTGAAAGTTGTGTTTATTTAATATAATGACTAATATCTTTTTATCTTCTTACATTTTTGGATTAAACTTGCAAAAGCTCATGTTGTTCTTATTTGTGCAGCACTCACTTTTATTCCTTGATCAAAAGCTTTCTGTTGCTCCCTTCATTGAATCAGATATAGCTGCTTATTTTACCTGAGGATTTGATTTGATGAAGTTGGACTCTCAGTTCAGAGTTGGGCCTGTCATTTTTATTTCTGTAGCACTTTCTTTATTTTGTTTTTACATTTTTACTTAGTCTGGAATATGGACAGAAATTGTAGCCATGTGAATCCTAGCATTTACCATTTTTATTTTCAGTCACCTTAACTTGACATATGTAGCTTTCAGACATAGACAGATCCATATGTTCTAATTATTATATTATGCATGTGAGGTATGCTTTGTAGGTGGGTTTCGCTTTATATTCCTGAGCTTTGGTTTGTTTTGACCTGTTTAGCAAAATGCCGCAGATTCCTTCACTGTGTTCGTGATGGTGCCTCTTCCAGTTATATGTTCTGTTTTATGTCTTTTTAAAATGTGTTTCTGTTTCACTGTGTATACCAGCTGAGTCGTCAAAAAGCCTATGTGAACAAACACAGTTTCAGCTTGATCAGATTTACTATAGACTTCATTATTATTAAATGGCCTTCACTTTACTTCAGCACCCTGTGTATCCACAGAAAATCTATTTGTCTGTTGTAGACTTCATAACTAGTCTTGGGAAACAAACTACTTAGAGCTGCAGCAGTCCATTGGCCTTTCATGAGATTTAAATCAAATGTTTTTTCATCAATTAAGCAAGTTGATCCCACTACATTTGAGTAAATTGACATTATTTTCAGCTGTGTGTATCATTTGAAATGCCAGCAACATGGTTTGTACCACAAGCTAGCATCCTGGAGCACTGAGCTGAACAGAAATGAAGTTCTTCTCAAACCTTCATTTTAACTTTTTCGTTAAACTAACAACTAAAACAACTGCTTCTTTCAACAACTCTTATGGACTTGTTAAAAGAGGTGAGACGGTGAGGTTGTTGTTCTGAGTTTGTAGGTGCTGATATTTTACTGTGTTGGTTTGTGAGTGCTGAGAAGTGAAAAGGTTGTGGAGGAGCTGCCCCCTAAAATGTTGCTCACAAAAGTGAAAGAAGTTTACAAATGTGATGACCTCTGACCCTGTGCCTTGCTGTTCTTTATGTATGTTATGAAAAGGCCTTAAAATACTCAGCAGGTCAGTTCAAAGATATATTACTGATGCTGTCCAGTCAGATGTGTGGCTACCTCAAAAACACGTTTTTTTGTATCTGTGTGTTCTCTTGTACAATAACATTATGGCTCTGTGATTTATTGAGAGTTTCTCTGTTTGGGGAGAATCCTCTGAGAACTGTTTTCTGCTTCTGACATTAACAAAGCACTGTTACAACAAGTAATCTTGGCTTTTAAAATGAAAGGCTTTGAAATAAAGAGAGTTAAGTATTACAAGTTGCGTCTTTGTGTCTCTTATTACAACTATGTCTATTCACTTATCAGTCATATATATCAAATGCATGTATTTACTTGTCAACTGTGCTAATATAAAGTTGGAAGTGTTGACATAAAAGGCCTATCATAGAGGATAGATGTCACTATGAAGCAACGCTGTGTCGCAGATAATTGGAAGGACATCTGGACTCATGGTTTAGCTCCTAATAGGTAAAAAGTACAAAGAGAAAAAACAAGTATTGTGTATGTGTTAATAGTATGCTCTTTTACCACCACACGTACTCAAAAAATGTTCAATGTAAGCAATGTAAGATTGTATATGTTGTGGTCATTCTGCATAACAAGTCTTTTTACTGTTAGAATATTTGTGATTCTTTGGATGCATCACGTTTACTTGTGTAGTATTTCTATATTGTTTGTTTTTTATGAAGGGCAACATTTAGTATGTTGTATTGTTTCTTGTACTAAAGTAAACATTAAACAATCTGATCAATACCTGAGACACTGGGATAGCCTTGTTAAAAAAAATCCCAACACAGAAACTTTCTTTAGCTTGATCATTTTTATCAGGTGTTTTATTGGAATTATAAACATGGTTTTCTACAGCATTTACAGTGAAAAACATTATTGCAAGATAGCCACTGAAGTCAATCTAACCATGTTATCAGTACCTTTGTATCATAAGGTTGAAATACCACCAGCAAAACGTTTAAGTGTTTAATTGTAAAACTAAATAATTCGATATGTTGCACAACTGTCTCTTTGTCAACATGTAATTTTAAGCACAATCGAGTAAAGAAACGAAATGTCTTTGCAAGATTGATATTTAATTTACCCTGCAGAGGTCTTTGTTGTTTTGATCCCCGGGAATAAGATCAGAGTGAGAGCTCTGTCACCATTGACGATCGGCTCTACAGTACGCACGTCACGCGTTGCGCGGCGCAGGGAAGTCCGTCACCGTCTCACCGTCTCTACTGTTGGACCTGCAGGAGCTTTCGAGGTTCTGATCGGTTCCATTTTTGTTTTTGTTTAAACTCACAATCTGTGCGTCGGCTTCTTAACCAGTTTTCGATCAAAAACAAATACTGTGAGGATTGTGTTCATCTTGAGACGAACACCGGAAAGTGCTCAGTAAAGCGAAAGTTGAGAGTCGAGATGAGTGTGGAGGCGTACGGGCCGAGCTCCCAGACCCTCACCTTCCTAGACACCGAGGAAACAGAGTTGCTAGGAGCGGACACCCAGGGCTCCGAATACGACTTTACCGACTTCACCCTTCCCAGCCAGACGCAAACTCAAGGCCAGACCCAGAGCCAGCTGGACAACCAGGTATGTGGCTTTCATCTTCACAGTAAGCAACAATAAAGCGCGGTTTGCCGACGTTAGCTGCAGTTAGCTAGGTTAGCTCACCCAGCGCTGTATGCTAGCCCGCTATTATTGGACGTTAGCTAGCTTGAGCTTTAACCGTTAGCTCACGGCTCGCTAATAAGCCCGCAAAATAAACTCATAAAGTAATCTTAGGTGTTTTATCATGTCTGTTTTTAACTATTCTAAGTAAACTATGCATACTGGTGGGACTTCAAAGACCAAATGTAAGCATTAAGAGCATTGACAGCGTGTCAACACAGTATGTATCCTAGCTGCTAGCTGCTAATGTGTAGCATTGAGTTTGTTTGGTAAAGCTTGTGTTGTGCTACAGGTTAATGGTCCTGATGAGGGTCTTCACAACGGTGGAGTGGATGACTCCGTGGCCAAAGCAAGCCAGCTGTTGGCCGAGCTCAACTTTGAGGAAGATGAAGAAGACTCGTACTACACCAAAGACCTGCCTCTGCACGCATGCAGGTACACTGACTCCATGTCAGGATGTCGCTTTATCACTGAGGAAGTGAATTCAGTACACGGGTGTTGTTTTTCTTGACGATTTCCCAATACTGTAATTACAGTTCTAATATTTTGTTTAGTTCCCTATCTTACACACTACATACAAGGCATAACCCAAATCAATCCATGTTAATAACACTCAGCACAAGTGTTGGCAGCTGCATTGACCACATCATTACTAAATAAGTACAATGCTGGCACATAATCCCTTGAACAGAAAAGGATCCACAACTTCACGTTATGATCCTGTAAGCAAACATAAATACATTCATACACGTAGTAAAGGGGTTTAGCTTTAAAAGTGATCAATACATTTATTATCTTTATACAAAAACATAATTACATTATACATTAATTAGAAAATGTATCATCTCCCAGCCTTGGGATAGATAGTGTTGAAGTTCATAAACATAACTAGGTTAGTAGTATTAATACATTTTTATGTTTTCAAACATCAAATACACATGTGACTTTTAGAAGTTAAGTACAGAGAGCTTTATAAAATGTAATTTAATGTTTACTATGGAAATATTTTTTATGACATGCTACAAACAAGGACCTACCCCTTTTGCTTTGCTCTATGCCTTGCTTTTGGTTACACATATTCTCGTATCTAATTCTGCATTTTTTCAGATTCTGTCTACATTGTTGTTTTTCAGCTACTGTGGTATTCATGATCCAGCGTGCGTGGTGTACTGCAATACCAGCAAGAAGTGGTTCTGTAATGGACGTGGTAACACATCTGGCAGGTGTGTAGTCCTATTCATCTTCACATGGACATAAAAACACTACAATTTGAACACCCCGATGAATTGTATTCAATTATAAAACATACATTACGATAAATGTAGAATGTTTTAATGTTATCACCAAAATCACAAATAGCCAGACTTTTGCCAAACATATTCTGGTGAATGTGTTTAAAGAGAGATCTGTGCAATGTAATGTTTGCAGACCTTTTAATTCCAGGTGTATTGTTAGGGGAAAAAGTGTGGTCCAAGTTTATGTCCTATATGCTGTTGACATTACCATGCAAAGAATAAATCATTGTATGTTTGAAACTGTAAAATAGTTTTTCCAATCGCCTGTTTCTGGTCTGTGGGTCAAAAGGTTCAATTTTGCAACTATCAATACTTTTTAGCAGCAACATTACCAGGGCAAATATGGCTGAGATCAAATAGTTTTAAAATATTTTTCATTGTTTGATTTCCAGTCACATTGTGAACCACTTGGTGAGAGCCAAATGCAAGGAGGTGACGCTGCATAAAGATGGGC